TTAGATTATAATTTGCTTGGAATTCCTGTTGCAATACGTCTTTGTAAAATCATGGTAAGTAAGACGCCTTGTTATTATAATTACTTGCAAGTGTGTTGATTGGTTATGTTTACTCCTTGCATGTTTATGATTTAATGATAGTGTGTAATTGTTGGGTAAAGTCTAGAGTTCGCGTATTTTGTAGCTAATGCTTTATTATTACTCTGGCTTTTTTATGAGGTGGGAAAGTCCTCCGCTCTCGGTGCGGCGAGAGGGAGGGTCTGACTCTTATTGACTAAAAACCACCCCGTTCCTTCTACTGCTCCAGGCCAAAAACGATAAATGATATAACGAGTGAACCTCAGACCTTATTCATCAAAATCAGTTCAGTTGTTCTTGAATTATGGTTGAACAAAATAAACTTACACAGACACAGACAATCGCTCTATAAACATCACTTTTAGCAGTCAACTTTACGAACCTACTTCTAGAATTCCAATTTTGAATTATTCCACAACCAATCAAATGGTTCAAAATCAACTCCGTACACAAGTTTTGACAGACAAGAATGCCAAAGCTATATAATATATCTAGCTATATCTAGCTATATAATATGTCTTGTTAATACCAAACGTGTAAGTACAATTCATGGTCTGATCGATCACGATTAAGCTTGTGAAACACCGTCCACATTCATGTACCCACTACCACGCATTGTACCTATCAAGTCTGTTTCGACCCTCATAATTATACCATTCACACTTAATTTTAGCATAATTAAGAACGATTGTAATCTAGATTTAATCAGTGATATTGAAACGGCAATAGTTTTAGAAATAGTCATGATAATGTATCTATCTAGCTTTAAATTATTTTGCATGTGTATTTGTCGATCAAGACCTGCTAAATGGCTGGGCGGCTTTAGATGAAATTTAGAGTCCTTGAATTATTTAGATCCGCTATAAAATCCGTTACGTGTTGCTGTATTAGAGCAAGGTTGTCTTGATAGTTACACCAAGATAATAAAGGTGTTTGTGGCATTTAAGTACATTTTTTAAAACTTATAAAAAACACCTACGGCGACGAACTAGTTTCGCATATTATTTGTAATATAAATCCCTTAATCTAGATAAAAGGCACTAAAAATATACAATATCATACGTCATAATCAGAGTTTTATTATTATAAAAAAAGTTTATCATTCATATATGTATACCTACCATTTATATTTTTATCATGGAAACAAAACAAAAGATAACATAAGATAAGAGTCTTATCATTTAATTGAATATGTGGGTAGATAAAATAATTTTTATTCAGGACGTAGTATCGACATTTTATTTATTGGGTGTGTTGATGGAGGAATAGGTATGGAGGGGAAGAAAGAGAAGGGATATCTCCTTTCTCTTTTTCTATTTCAAAAATATGTAATGCGCTATGATTTGTTATTTATTTTGAACTGACTTAGATTTTAGTCATAAGAAATTGTTTAATTGCGACGCGTTACTAATATTATTATAGAAATAATAAAAAACTATTAAAATTTTGTAAGATTACTAAGAAACTTGAGCCGAATAGTGATTTAGGTACAAGAATGTAACAAGTAGAAACGATAAGTTTGGAATTTCTAATTTTATTGTTATTTAACGACCTAACTAGAGTATCGGTTACATTGTTATAAATAAATTTATATTGTGTAATACTTTTATCGTCAGTTTTTTTTCTTAGATGGAAAAAATCTACTATTTTAACTTGGGTTTAGGGAATAGATTTAAAAATTGTTTAGAATCATTGAATATGACAGGACGTAACATAATCTTTCTTGAGTAGAGGACAAAAATAAAAGTCTACAAATCAATAGTAATTTGTAGACTTTTATTTTTGTCTCTTAAACTTTTAAAGCTAAATATTAGGATAGTATTCTATTTTTGAGGATTTTCGCAACAGCACTTTTGTGGCAATTTGACATTATGTACCTAATAGAAAAGAAGTGAGATATATCACAATAATTTCTTTTTCTTTTTTTATGTAATACATCGACAAACGACCAGACGGATTACCTGATGGTAAGCAAACAGCGCCGCCCAAGGGCACCGGCAACAGAGGAGTTACGAGTCCGTTGCCGACCTTTTCTTCTTACCCCTTTGGCAATTTGACATTATCTATTGACGACATGTAAGATAAAATATATCACAAAAATTTCTTCTTGGTCCTTCTGGACAAAGCAGGCGTAATACAACTTCTTTGAACACATTCCTATGTAACAACGAAGCGAACGGCCGGTGTACCTTTTGTTTTGTTGTTATTATTGATACAGTATGTTGCCACTTGCACAATACGTGTTATATACAGGCTGATGTGATTAGACTTGTGTCTACTACCGTGACGTGGTATGCGTAGGAGTGCGTAGTTGCGTACAACTACTATCTCTATCTGTTTATTGCGTGCAGTTATTGAAAACAACTTTGTTTTTATAATTAGGAATTTCTAACACATTGTTTTTTTTAGAATAGTTTTCTAATTCAGTTATATTTGAAACGTCAAAAACGAGAATATTATTTGTATTGTGTATGATAATATATAGCAAATCGTTGATAACTTCAAGTGTGGGAGAGCCATGCTTCGGCACGAATGGGTCGGTCCGACCGGACTGTTATCACGGTCTCACAGAAAACCGGCGTGAAACAATTACAGCGTTGTGTTTCGCCGTATGAGTGAGGTTACTGGAGACCCAATCCTTCTGCTCCCCTATCCCTCCCAATCCCTAAATCTCCAAAACCCTAATCCCTAAAAGGTCGGCAACGCACTCGTAACTCCTCCGTTGCGGTTGTCCATGGGCGGCGCTGATTGCTTACGATCAGGTAATCCGTCTGCTCGTTATTACATTAAAAGAAACCATTTGCGTCAAATAGCATACATATTTGTCTACAATTAGCTTAACAAATACAAAAAAACATGTATAGTATTAAATCAATGACTGAATGTACCGCGGCCTGTACCACGACCTGGACCAGGAGAAGGAACGGGTTGATTTTTAGTCAGACTGACACTCGCTTTCGTACCAATCAGAGCAGGAGAAGTAATTTGATGATTATCCCCCCTCCAAGAAAGGTGTACCCATAGGCGTAATGTTATGTTGTAACATGTTTTAATAGTTTCAAGGGCAACTTTGTAACGAAATTTTCTGAACAACAACATCAATTATAATAATAAATAGTAAGTATATATATAATATAAACTGCCATAATGTGCCATACCCTTGCAACACTGTCTGGACCCTAATTGCATCACCGTAATTATAGAGTTTACCACGTATAAAGACAGAGTAAATGAAGTACTTGTAAAACATTGCTTCATATTTTGTACTGAATATGCGCACGCGCATCTAAGAATGAAATTGTAACGAAAAGAATGAATCAGATTTTTTGCAATATACATACAAGTCGTGATTTTTTTTTTGTTTTTGTAATAATCCACATTTATTACTTATGGATAATTTTAATAATAATTAAGAAATATTACTTAAAAGTAAAATAAAATAGTTGTGTGAACATAAATTTGCGTTTGGTATTTTTATGAAGGTATTGGCTAGAGAATAGGTAAAAGGTTTCAGCGGTGTGATATGTAATCATCATATTACTAGACCTACATCATAAAAACGTGAAGATGTGAAAATGAAATGTTAATAGCAATAACAACAAAAAATATCTCCTATCCCTTTCCACCATTCCAATTTGTACGTCACCTAGTCATTGCTGCATATGCCGGACATATTTAAGGATATCCCGTCCCAAAAAACCCATTATCACCAAAAGATAAGATGGTGTTAAATATAACACGAGCATCGAAGGCTTTTGTAAAATCCCAAGTATTGTTAGAAAACAGATAACGTCTATTGTGATCATGGATCTTTTTGCTTCACCGCACTCGGCTAAAAAGAAGATGCAATTTGATTTGAAGAAGACAATAGTGTTTCCCGTATTCAACACGAATTCAGGTTAATGAGAACATCCCCTTGATAAGGTTTTGTTAAGAGAACAGATGCTTAACACCAACATGAGTGGAATTTGCTCTTCTTGGAACGACTGCATTTTGTTTATACTTCCATATTGTTCGATTACTGGCAGGTCTCTGCTTGTTTCCATTTGGGTTCGTGGTGTTTGTTTATGAAGTATTGCAGATGAACTCTTGGAAATTATTTAGTTTTAAATTTCGTCATACTTTGTCTTGAATTTTCTGGAGAACCAACTAAATAATAGCAACTATACCAGGCCCGGCTCTGGATATGACAGCAAAATTGATTCTAGACTAATAATCCCAGATTCAATGGAGCAAAAGTAACCAGCGGATACAATTTACAACGTCGTGATTCTAGGTGCGCGACTAACTAATAGAAACCCAACTAGGCGGTCGACAGGAGATAAGAAACGAGCAGAATCCTAAAATACTTATTCCAGTTACACATGGCTAGCCAATGGTCGGAACATGTTACTGAACTTTTTAAAATGATAATGAACACACATGAAAGACATGAGGCGTGACTGAAGAAAATCTGCATTATAATAATATGACTCATAGCAACAAACTTTACACAGCTAAGCAATCCATCTGATGTTCAGATATTCACCACGAATTGAGTGCTGAGGTAACTGTTATTGTTTTTTGAAATTCCACAACTAATAATATTTCTTTAGTTATTTCCCAAAGTGATGTCAGAAACTCGTCACCATGTCGGTAATTGTTTTGTTAACGAGTCGTGCCGAATTTAAATAACGATTTCTATTGGAATCTTTATAATTGATTGCCCAAATCGTTTCTCGAATACTTCATCGGTTTCGACTTACAATGAGTGTTCGTGTTAGAGCACAGTTTTACGAACGAAAGTATGATCGAGTGGTTACGTAGACAATATTTCCTCGCTTGCTGGACTTGTTTTTGTATGACTCTCATCATTTACCTGCACATCTAATAATCACAGGATGTCTGTAAACGCAAGGAAACACGTGTTTTATGTTGCCCTAATGGTGTTCCTTTCCTGTGAAGAGGAATGCAAGAATCTTCGACTAGGGGTTAATGATATTTTAAAAATGTCATCTTTGAATACGTACGTCGCGACGTCTGTGGTCTAGAATGTTGTTCCCAAAACCTACTTTTAAACAAGACATATACTGTCTCTTTTATTTCAGACACACATTGACACCGGTGACTTCTTCGGTGTCAACATTGTCGCAAGAGTGCAACTTTTAAGAAGGTGCCGCAATTAATAGCCATTTTTCTTTCGATTTTTTGTGCCCCTTTTCTTAGGTGAAAGTGTAACTTTAGCGAATCATTAAATGATTCGCAAATCATAAAATTCGCATGTTTATCATTGAGTGGTCTGTGCACCAGCAGACGGTGTTCAGTGAAATGTCTGGCTGGGCGCGTCACGCACGGGAGAAAGTGTACTACAAAAGCGTACCTGCGACTGGTCCCCAATTGGGTTGCGACCTCGAATATCAGCCGACACGGGTCTTCTTTTTAGAGTTCCGTACTCGTTATCGACTGTTTTGACCGGTATATCTTAGCAATAAGAAGAATCTTTAATGGCAGATGGTCTAATATTGACCTAACTAAATGTTGGAATGCTCACTCATTTACTGCACTATACATACTTGAATTATCGTTGGTCACGTTTTACTTGAGGATGCAAAGCCCCTAAAAGGCACAAATTCAAACTTAGCCAGTTTTTTTAACCTCGCAAACCGCCGCTCGGAGACTTCCTCTAAACCGGTCTGCTCCAAAACTTGCTGGGACGCGAAAAACTATTTCTGAACGATTATGTGCTCTATGCTTATGAAAAAAGACCTATGTCTATGTTACACGGCTATCAACATCAACACTAATTGAGTTTCGTTATTAACAGTCAATTTGAATTAAACGACGCGACGGCGATGTCGAATACTTTCCGTTTTTAATCTTAAAGCAATCTGTTTCGAAGATAAAAGATGAAGCTGACTTTTAAATGATCGCGGTTGATAGCTGGAAAGTGGTTTGGACAACTGTTCAATAAGTATTTGCAGCATATAGAAATCTAATAACAAAAACAAAGAAGCGGCTAGTCTCTAGAATGTGATTCGCGGGATTGTGAATTGGTTCTTAGTCACATCTTGTACTTTATTTAGAAGGCGGTGAGGTTCAAATATGTTTGTTGGTGATTGTCACCCATGTTTGTAAGGACGTCGCCACGATGCCGTCCCGGGGTTTTGTTTCTCCCGGCCACGAAACTGGATTCCTTTGAAACGTTTTACTTAAAGACTGAATGGGAGCCAGTTTCATTGTTTGGTAAGGCGTTCTCGCATATTGGAGGGGTAACGGCGATTTTATGTAATGTTCTAACCATTTTCAGCTTTTATATTAAACGAATCGGCTATTGGAAATAGCGACCTTTCTTCAGAACGTTCACTTATATTCTTTATAACTTCCTGGGTATATAAAATAGCAAATAAAAAGTTATAATTGGCAGAACGTTGTTGACGAAATCAATTAATTTTGCAGTTACATCGATCGTTAGTTTGATTTATTATTAAAGAGAAGTATTTAGCTCAATGTCGCGTTATTCGTCGCAGCGTTTTGTAATGTTGAAGTTAACTAGCAAGATTCGAAACTGACACAGAAACGAAATAGTTGAGATAAAATTGACGAAAATATTCGCCATATTTGTGTGACAAATTAAATATTTATGCCAATATGTTGCCACAGACTCGCGTGTCATCTGATTTGTACATCGTCTTTTGTGACGAAACTGATAGCCTATAGATAACCTAGATATTATCTAAAAAGTGCCTTGCAAGATTTTATCTTTCAACTTCGCAATGATCCACAATCGTAACGTTTACGCTACGTGTTTTTTTTCGCATTTTGTATCCAACCAAATTATTTCTTCATACATCATATCAACCGAATTGTCTACATTTTTCGAGGTTTTAATTGATTGGCTGTGTTTTTATTCATTAAATAAGTAGTATGGTACTACTTGCTGGGGTTATAAGTATCGAAACTGTTACTGTTATTATATGTAGCTCGATATTTCTTCAAAAAGGTTACCTACTTATCCTTTTGTACTTTGTAAATAACCTTTTTCATTCGGCTCAGAGCTAGGTACCTACCTACTTAAACAGAAAACCTCAGAAAATTATTTTGATTTTCTTTTCTCTTATCTTATTGCAAATCAAGTTGATTTTAATAAAAATCGAGGTTTGGAAGTGGCCGGCATAAACCGGCAGAGATTTATATAAAACTTTTAATACTGTACTGTTTCAATAATTAAAATTAGCAGATAATATATTGATTGATCATCAGTAGGAGAGTCTACTAGTCTTAGCTCAAGTGACTGGGTAAGTAAACACTCGTAAGAAGTGAAAATTTGAAGTAAAGTGGGTCACGGTTCAGACTAGCAGTCTCTTTGGTTGTGAATTAAATTAATTAGACGGATAGGTACCTTATTTAAATTTCTGTGTTCGTTGATAATTTTGTTGTATAAAGATTTTGAGTAATAGGTTAATGTTTGCTGTTGTTGGGGTTAGTTATGTCATTGTTGCCATAAATGTATAATTTGTTAATAAACACAGTATCTTTACCTTGAGTGTTTCGGCAATCACTAATCTGCTAGCTGCTAACTTTGATAACACAGTCTAATCAACACATAACACTGTAGATATGTAATTTATATATGATACAATGTCTAAATATATTAAACCATAGTTCACGGTGAACGACAATAAAAAAATCTTGATAAGAATCAAAATGTACACTGAACGAAAAAAAAAATATATTAAAGTTCAACAGTCTCGATGGAATGCATGCATTTCAAGTCGCTGGATCAGTTATAAATAACGAAACTTCATTGAAATAAGCAAATATGTAAGAACACTTCACAGTTCATTAGAATTATTATGTTAAATTGAACACTTCATAAACACAAAAGTTTTTTGAAAGTTATGATTTCATCGTTTCCCCGTCTGTCACTGTGCGGAGCGCCACCAAACACGCCCGACCGCTGTGGCGGTTACATTCAATATGGCGCCCGAACAAATGAACGAAAGAATGACGGCTGAGCGAATGGATTGCGAAAGAACACGAACGATGACCGGTGAAGTTCGAACTCCGAAGGCTTCATGCAACAATACGACTGCGTTTGAGCCGAATCAATAATTTTGTTTTGAACTTCTTGAAGTACCTACATACATAATGACTTTCACAAATTTTTAAATACCTACCTAGGTATAAGAAAACTTCCTTCATTCAAAATAAATTTAATTAACACGTTTCCTAATAATGATAAGTCACTGTCTATTGTTTTGCAATGAAAATAATTGCCTTCTACTCAATCTACTGCATTGTTTTCAAATCTGATTTCATTGCGGTAAACGTAGTAAGTACTTATAACATTAAAATCACGTAACACAAGATCACACACGCGAAACAAAGCCGCTTCTCCTACCCAACTAATTATAAGATAGTTAGTAAATTATTAAAATAAAGGTATTATAATTGTGATTTTTAGGTATTCATGGGCCTCTTCCCTCCATTTTAAATAACTACAAGTCAGGTGACTTGTAGTTATTTAAAATTCGCAAATGCGTATACAACAGTTATTTAGGTAGGAACTTCTACCTTGGTAAGGAACGAAATTTGAATTCAACGTGCACATTTGAATTTACAACGATTTCGTTTTAATTACCTAATCCATTTTTAAATCTTTGAATATGATCTCAAAATTTAATGAGGATTTTAAAACAGAAACAATGAAAGTATTTTAGGACAATAAGACGTTGTCACAATACTTGTTGACGCATTGTTATTGTGAAGCTGCTATTAATGTAAGTAGGTACCTAAGTAGTAAAATTTTAACATTTCCAACTGGAATTGTCATCGAAGTAAGTTTAAAACTGTATTTTTCATTTACAACTGAGAACACCCGCAGCCCTTGTTTTCCTTCCTTTACGTTACCCACTTCTATGTAAAAAATAATATTACGCTGATTTTGAACCTCAACCCAAAAGGTTCTGTTACATATAAGTAATAAAAACTTTAAAGAGTCTCTAACTGATCAGACCTCCACTTTAGTCTTTAGCCTTTTACTCAATAAAAACAAAAACAAAATCTGTCACGTCAAAGTTACACGTCAAAATCAACAAATGTGTGTTGTTCAATAAAATCAAGAGTTTATTAATAATTTACCATTTTCTGTATGCAAATTATGAGTTGATTCTTTTCCGGCTTTGCAAGAAGTAACCCAAAATGGCATTGGATTTGGTCAGCATTGCCCAGCCGCACTACATACCTGGGTTAGTTAAAAACTTAGCCATTTATTTAAGGATCTAGGTATGTGTTGTGAAAATCAAAAATAAAATTAGATAGGTACCTACTCGATACTGATACCTAGTGCAGTCTCCATGCAGAAATCGCGTTTGGTTGATTCTTAAAATACTACCTACCTAGGTAGGTAATCAAAATTCAACACAAAGTCTCACTACCTAAGTACCTACTTAGGTATTATAAAGACAATGTTAGAGGTTAATAACTAATAAGTACTAGAAAGTAATGTCGCTAAGTAGATGTTCCTTGGTTGCTCAAAAATGAGTATAAAAGACTAGCTAGTCGTATAAAGTAGGTGTAGTCTATGTTCACCGCTGGTGTGAAATCAGTCAAGTAGCTTCGGACCCCCTACAATCTAAACAAATAAACAATCAAAAGTTTCCATTTTATACCTAATATTATTTATTTAGTATCTACAGGCGAGAATAAAATGCGTATCAGGATACGATTAGGTATAATAATAATGAATAGGTAAAGTAACGATCAATTAAAATAAAAAAAAATACGACGTTTCATAATTATTTACCTACTTAAATTCAAGTTCTACACAGCTTTAATAACCAAGCAACAATAATTCAATGTCTCATGACCATATTTAAACATTATAATTTACAGTTGCACTTATAAACATTTATTATTAAGATTAAGAGCCCAAAAAGGGTTCATGTCGCCAGGCATAAACCACGGTGCATTTGCATCACGAAATTAAAAACCAATGTGCGGCCATTTTGTCATCATTGAAAATTGCAAAATTGGCGCCAATTATGTAATGGTTGTTTCGTTTTGACGCCACATAATTCACAATGTCAGGAGAGCGTTACAAATGTATTTTATTGATGAACTCCAAGTTCATTTGTTCGAATTTACTTATAAGGACTGTTATGTAATTCCTGTTGTGTTGAACATGCCTGTTGACAATGTATTTAGGGCATTGCGTTAGCCTGCGTGTCCGAATATGATAAATGATTTCATTTATTATGTATTTCCAACGCGTGAAGTTTTCGTAAACGATCGTTTTCGTCATTTCTATATGTAGGGCCTGGCAAAGATATAACTATTATATATACTTTAGTATGACGTGCCGTCTATGAATTTGTAAGGTTTTATTGGCTGTGAAATCGATTGCAGAGACCCAAAAACCCGGATAGAATTCAATTAATTACCTACATACGGTTTAGAGACTAAATTTTAATTAAAAATCTGAGTACCTAATCTTACGAGATATCTCAGAATACAGAACAAACCAGAAGCCGCGTTCACTCATAATTACATGTCGTCAAATGTGTCCAAAAACAATACGTCAATCCCCCCGCCAGCCGCACTTCCCACCCGCGTAGTGTTGCCGACAGTGGAACAATTCCCTTGGTTTGGGGTAATTTTACAACTGGAGGGTAAGATATGGGTAAACCCAACAAAATAGGTAAACTTACGATAAATGCGACAGACTAGTTGTTCACACACTTCATGCAGGTATCATAAAAGTTGACGATTTCTGACTGTGTTAATTGTAGTTACACCTACCATACACAACAAATAAAACAAAGCTTCAATAAATACAAAGGTTTTATTGCGTTCCCTTTAGCTGGTTTAGTTTTTTTAATATGTATTGTGTTTAGACTCGGAACTAAAGATTAGAAGTCTACTTACTTTACTTAGTTCCTAAGATTAGCGTATTCAAGCAAACAAACAAACAAACTCTTCAGCATTATAATTAGTATAGATGTATCTTAGTAGGAAATGCTGTTTTCAAACCACCTTTGTCATAAATATATCTCTTCAAAGTGAATTGAGCAAAGTATGCTCTGGCTAGATGGTTTCCAAAATTAATCTAACCGTGCCCTTTGTATGTTTTTTTTTTGTTATTCGGCAGTGAACCTAATATGACATAGGCTCCATAATGGACAAAATATTTATTTATTTATTTAAACTTTATGCAACAAAACATTACATAGGCGGACTTAATGCCGTAGGCATTCTCACCAGTCAACCTAAAATATAACCCACAACAAATAAATAAGTGGGTAAAATTTTCACCAAAAATGACAACACTCACAAAATGGCCGCATAATTTTCATAGAAAAATAAATCGATGAAAAAAATTCAATAATTAATTAAATATACTATTGCAGTCGATGCTTGCAGATGAAATGTAATCTTATCCACTTTTTTCATAATTCCAGACGCATTTTTACTCGTAGGAATAGCACAAGACGGCATAATGAAATTAAAATTGATACTCGTAGATACGTCACGACATGCCACGTGCCAAAATTGACTGATCGTAGAAATTTCATACTAATCTAGTTAAGAGTGGTTTTAGTTGCTTCAGTTTGAAGCGCGATGACGCCTTCTGGTTTGTTCTGTATTCTGAGAACACAATAGAGATTCCATTGTTTCTCTCGTAGATCCACGTCTGATACGTACACGAAAGGTCAAAAATTGTGGCACCATCGTTAATGGTTAATAAATCTTTATTCCTAACACAGGTACACCGGTCACTGCCCCGAGTACAAGTATCGCATAGGTGACACGTATGGGTCTACCACTCACAAGATCCTCCTGGACCCTAGTGTACAGCACTCCGAGAGACTTGTACTGTCTGACAGAACTGCTGATGACTTCCAGGTTTGTTTTGCATTTCTCAGTATTGTCTGTAGTTTTTTATAACACTCCAAAGTTGCTGGCAGAAGCTTGATGGCAATGTTCGTGAAACCTTGGTAGGTATAACTAAAGTCAAACCTGGGTGAGAAAAATTTGTTAGTAGGTAAAGCGTAAAGAGAAAACAAACTAATTTTGTTATTTTTTAAAATAACTGGCTCACGAAAATTGTCTGAGAAAAGCTCTATTAGTTTTAAGTCACAACGGGACCCTTATGCCTGAGCATTGTGCGCGTCGTGGTGACGTTGCGCAGCCGACTGACTCAGTTTATAAAATTTGTTCTGATTTCAAATAATTGTACTTATGTTCTAACCTATTTTCAAATTTTAAAATTATGAACTAATATGTACTAAGTAATTTATATTCCCATTATCCCTGTCCTATACATGTTACCAGTACCGAATGTGGAATGAGGAACTCGTTGTCTACAAAAGATAAACAGAAATCGATTGATCAGATATCTATCTAAATAGTTGAATAGGTACACGTGCGGGCAACGTGACTATTTCAATTAACCCTACTTAATCTGTTATCATTATAATTTACCATTGCAAAGTGTGGGTGTATCTAATCTGCTTATAACCTCGACTAATGTGAAAACTACCTATGTAGTCTGAGGTTTATGTTTGTTTAGCAAATCAACCAATGGTAGGAAAGACATTAGATTTTCTCTTATAGATACCTACTTAATTTTTTATTATTCAGCTGTGATATTCTTGACCTACCTACTCAGGTTTTGACCTATTTAACTACCTCTTAACGTATCCTTTGTACATTTATTGTGTGTATGTAGGTATACCTATTTATGTTGGTTTGTTTACAAAATATTTTTGTCATAATATGAGCGGCTGAATCGAAGATCTTCGTGATTACTACCATACTCCAAACAAGCAAATCTTTCAACATTTTCTTCTTTTGATAAAATACTAAAGACAATCTACATCCTACCTAGCTTATGAAAAACAATGACCGTTTCAAATGGTTTACCTGAATGATTTCATTTGAACAGATCTACCGACCACCACAAACAGACATCGATGTGGTTAACGCAAGGTTTCGCAATGGGGATCCAGTGTACAAGCATCCTATGATACCAGGGTATGAAGGTATGTATGATTTTCTATCTAAAGGATACGTGTGACTGAAACAACTATTTTTGTCATTTTGATGTAGGGCAAACACTGATATTTCCTTCTACGATTATATCCAAACATTTAACAAACCCGAAAAACAAGCAAACTGTAAAAATCTATGGGACCCTAAAATTTTTAGAGTTCACGTAGGTAATAGGTATGTAGTTTTTGTACGCTGATGAACATACTTAATATTTTTGGAATAACTTGTAAGCTTTTACCAACCAAATAAATTAATAATAAAGAATTTGAAATATTTCATTAAAAACCTGCTATTGAAATGAAATAAATAAAGTGAAAACTTGTAAGAATTTGTCGAGAAATAAGTTGATCTCGATGAGTCAGGATTGTACGTGAGTCATTGGCGACCGGTCCGAGACTGCGAGGCATGCCAACGTTTCCTGAGACCCTCGGGCCTACAGATGTTTACATTTACAAATTACTGTTAGAATTGCGCACAATTTCACCGAGCCGTTTATTGTCGACAGTACCTTGGTAGCTTTAAGTGACTTGGTTCGCGTTAACCTAAACAGCTTTGGCCAACTTACCTACCTAACTTTCAATGTTAGGCTTTAGCTACGTTTGTCGAAGTCCATCTTTGGATATGTAACTATTCTTCATTGTTTAGACTAATTCGTACTCAGAAAAACTCAGGCATTCATTTTCGGATAACATAGTAGAATATCAATAATAGTGTCTAGTTTTTCGCCATTTTGCTAGGACTTTCCCAGGGTGCAACTTTGGGCCACTTTATTTGTTAGTGAGCTCATCAAAATTTCAACTCAACTAGTTTAAGGATAGCCTATTTCTCATACCCAAGCTAGGCAAAAAGGGTTTTAACGGTTTCATAGCTGGTTCAGAGCTTTTAATAGAATCACGTGTTTGTGCCTATATAAATAGACGAAAGGCTATAAAAACATCGTTACAGTAAATTGATGGGAAATCTATTAATGTGATGTTGTTTGTGGAATCAGCAAAAAATACACTAAGGTGTAACAATAATACCGTTGATAGGAATTTATATTTACCTACCTATTGTGGTATTTGTTTTTTTAAGTAATCTGTGTTTGTTTAAGTTTCTTTACTTTTGTAGATACATACTTAGTATAGTTTCAGTCTTAATTGCTTTATTATGATCCCTTGTTTCCATTTAAGTTAGTTACTTTGTCACTCAACGGAGTAGATACTTCTTGTTCCAACTTGTGTTCCATTCTCACTGACCAAATAAAGGAATTGAGTTTCTATGGTGTTAACAGCGAGCCGCGGGGGTGTACAGCCAGCGTTTGCCTATGGTCATATCCTAGTAACATTTAGTCTGACTTGACCGCGGTTACGTAGGTGTGAGTAATTGTTTAAGGGCAATACTCTAGCGAAACAATGTCCAACGGAGCGAGCCGGAAGGTTTATCTAAACACTGATATGGAACAAAATGGTTTGAAGTCTAGAGAATTCCATCATTAAACCGTTGATAAGTTAATAGAAGACTTCCAACGTTCGAGGACGTGTATGTTTTTGGTGGAAACTTCTCGAGTAATCCTTCGAAATGTGATTCAATTACACCTGTTAGAAAGAGTAATCGTCAGATGCGATTTTATAGTGGAATGCCGATACTTAAATCAAGGTCAATCATACTAACATCGTAAAGAGTAGATGACAAGCCAAACTTGACACCTACACTATAACATATTTGTATATTCATTACGTTACTGTTTCCATGTGAATATTAGGTCAAAATTAAAGTACCTAACGTAAAGAACTACTTTCAATTACTACCATTTTACCATAGATTTTTTCCAATTAAAGTATTATTTTTTTTCAAATATGGTATTGTCATGATTCGACACGAATGGTCCGACTCGACTGGAGTGATAACACGGCATCACATAAAACGAGTGTGAAACAATATTTTGGTTGTGTGCCATGCGAATGAGCGGAGGCTCAGTCTTCTCCTTTCAGAAGTTTTCAATCCTTAAAAGCCCAATCTTCAAAAACTCTTCAAACGCAGTTACGGCATATGTAACTCTTCCATTGTTGCGGATGTCCTTGGGTGTCGACAATTGCTAACCGGTGATAAACTGTATCTGCTCTGCAGTCTGTTCGTATAATATTCTTGATTGTTACTAGTGTACGGTATAGGGCATTGGTCATTAAAATAAAGGGTCCCCCTATTCTAGTTTTCGCGCCGTTCAGCGTTGTTAGTGCCCCTTAAACCCTACAGTTGAATGCTTGCACTATTTACGTAGGCAGTTTGTGTTGGCTATTAATTTACACAGAATTTGCATATACATTGTCAGACCGATAGTATTTATTGCTGATTCGGCTGTTAGATTGTTTGTGCGTTGATTAGGTACCGGAGTGATGGCGTGGAGCAATATTACAGTAAATAGGAACTACATGGATATCCATTGCTTTTGTTAATATATCTCATTTCTTTCTGAACCGGCGTTTTTTTGCAGTACCAACATAATTATGACATAACATTCACAATTTTTGATATACAGGTATCATTTATTATTAAAATATCTATCTACATACATATATAAATAATCGCAAAATGATTTGGTCAACGCATTTCCTCAACAACGACTATACTAATTTTGCCAATTCTTTTTTTATTGTGTTTGTTTTTGTCATGTAAATGTGTAATTATATAAATATGAGAGTAAATTGGGAACAAAGTCGCGACCCTTTCATGTTTAGTAGAGTTGCACACTACAGCCAAGGCTATAAAATAAAAACTGAAGGAAAACCTATTTTGAAAGATATAGGTAAATGCTCTACGTTATGGAAATTCACCAGATCGGCTTTAAATCATTCAATGCTGATCTAGATTTCGTACATTATGATAAATAAAGTATAAACGAACATAAAAAGTGATCGTTTGATATTTCCTGCGAGACAACTGCCTTATTTATCAAGATGAATGTTCTAAACAGATGTCCGTTGGCCTCAAATCTCGCTCGATATTTTAAAGCATAGACTAGACCGTATTGTTGACTGGAAATGGCGTCCTATAGCCTAGACATTTTTTAATCGACCTTTATTAAGGGTCGAGGTGATCACGTGTGTGAGCGAATTTAACGCACACATTTAAAATAAGTTCCTATGAGAAAATCTGCTCGCAGAGACAAGTCGCACACATGGAAGCAATGGCCATAGATATAAGTGCGCAAGATCATCGATTTTTCTTGAAAAGGAAAACGTTGAGTGTTGACTCCAGTGTGTTATGTTTTATAAAGGCCTACAAAATATGTGCATAATCTTCGAATAAAACGGTACCTACTCGTTCTTTATCAATCGTTGTTCTAGTTATGTCACGGTATCAGATGGCGAGCGAGCACTTGTTTTGTGACCACCATTCGCAAAACTAACGGACTGTGTTTTATTTAGTATTTTGTTGTGCGTAGATAGGGACAGAGGAGTGATCCTATGGATTTATCTTCAAGTTGATATCAGCTTTAGAAAATAAGCGCGGTAAGATTTATGGAGACAATCATTCCTTTAATCACATGGTTTAAAGAAGAATTGTGTTAGTTATTTATTCTGGAATTAGTAGATCAATTATAGCATCGGACTCCTCAAATTCAACAGAACGATTCGTCAACTTTTATTATCCCCATTACTTTTGTGGAATAATGGAAAATGTTGAATTCTAATGAAAATTGTAATGATAATGTAGGGTTTCTCCCACGATTGCATAACCACTTTGGACAGCGGTACACCGTCGCTGCGACAGAAGCGCTATCAGAATTTCAAAGGGTTCAACTCAACCAGAGAGCAGCAAGGAACCAGTTAGAAAGAGTGGTCGACTTGCAAGCCGGTAAAGGACAACCTTGGGACCTGGTTGACAGATTCGTAAGTTTTTAATGAAATGTTTTGCAAATAAAGCGGCTTATTTTTACATTTTTTATTGGAAAGGAAAACTTAAGAGAACATATAAGAGATAAAACAATATTGAATTAAGGCAAGATTCTGTACGAACAAACGTGAATGGAGATGGATGAAGAAAGAAGAATGAAAGGGCAAACAAGATGAACTTCAATCTGGAGCTGCTTTTTATATAAAATGTTTTTGATATCCACAGTCCGCGACAGCCGAGTTTAAGCTTCCATTAGTCACTGTGCGACCAGAATGTGCAGGAATATTACGTGACGTACCAATGGATGAACCAAAATTATCACCAGCATCACATTCTGTTAGTCCATACTTCTTGGAAAACAGTCATCCTGAGAAATATATCAAGAAAGGTGAGGTTAATAAAATAAAAGAAGGATTATTGTCTTTGAAAAATGCAAACTCTTTTATTAACTTTTTTACGTTTTTGAAACCTTGACAACGTGATTGTTTACATGTGTCAAATAATAGTGGGACAGTTTTTTTTTGAAATTTTGTTATCTAAGTCACAATATATTTGCGTTTTAAATAAATGTCCTACGCAAAAGTACACGCTTCTTTCGTGCGAAATCAAATATGGGGGTTTAATCCCTCGCAATCAGTGCGTGAGTTCATTTATGCATGTTATTGTTTAGGTACTCAGTTTGGTGATCCTTTATATTTGAGCATATAAAATTAATATTATTTTGTTTGTTCTAAGGCTTTTCGGGTCATGTTCCGTACGGTTTCCAAAGATTTGGTGAGTCGTCCAAGAAACTCACAAACTCTGCGCTTTGTGACTTTTCGTCGAACTACAGACGAAGACAAAGTACTGAATGGGCGCCAGTAAACGTTGTCAAGTAAGTTTATAATTATGACTTAAGTTGAATACTTATTTTGTAATTTTATTGTATGTAAGCAATATCATCAATTTAATTTATGTAGCTAATATATTTCATGCCTTTAATATTGGTCGTTTGCCGTTTAAAAAATATTGTTATTGAAAATCAATCATCCTATTTCTTTATACATTTCTGAACGAATGTTAAAATAATGACAGGTAGCTGTCAATGTCAAATTGTAAGCAAAATAGGTTACACGCGCAGATTATTTATATTCCAAAAAGTGTAATAAAATAAGTAACAAAATGGCAAAAAAGAAACTAATGCCTAACCTTTCCAAAGAAGAGAAGATGGTAATGGTGATATCAGAGATAATACAAGAGTTATTAGTGGCACATCGTCAGGGCAAAGATGTTAACCTCAACAAGATGAAAACGAGGATCTCGTCGAAGTATGGGCTGGGAACATCCCCGAGGCTGGTGGATATAATCGCTGCAGTGCCGGCGGATGCAAAAAAGATTCTTTTACCGAAGTTAAAGGCGAAACCAATTCGTACAGCGTCAGGTATCGCTGTGGTCGCAGTAATGTGCAAACCACACAGATGTCCGCACATAAACTTCACCGGTAACATTTGTGTGTATTGTCCCGGCGGTCCAGACTCCGACTTTGAGTACTCTACACAAAGTTACACAGGATATGAGCCGACTTCCATGAGGGCGATCAGAGCTAGATATAATCCGTACTTACAGACACGTCATAGAGTAGAACAGTTGAAGCAACTTGGTCATAGTGTAGATAAAGTTGAGTTTATTGTGATGGGAGGCACTTTTATGAGTCTCCCTGAAGATTACAGAGACTATTTTATCAGGTAAGTTCACTTTAAATTTACTTAAAAGATCCTAATTACTACATAATTTATAAATAAGAGTTTTAAACTGTATTGTTTGGGTTGTTACATGTGTTTTTCTGTTTAAGGAATCTCCATGATGCTCTATCAGGCCACACATCAACTTGTGTTGCGGAAGCTGTGAAGTACTCAGAAAAAGCAAAGACCAAGTGCATTGGTATAACTATTGAGACCAGACCTGACTATTGTCTGCAAAGACATATGAGTGATATGCTCAATTATGGCTGCACCAGGTTGGTAGCAAAGATTGATACATTTATATGGAGATTGTTTTTGTTTAAACAATTGTATCCAAACACAGACTAACTTCCAATAGCAATCATGAAATAACAAGAAATATAAGGAAAAAGTTTTGTTACAACAAAACAAACAAACAAACAAAGCAAATAAAAAAGCTTTAAAAAGCTCTATTGTGTTTAAAAAAAGTGCTAAGATTTTCTTCTCTGTTGGGGCTGCATTACAAACACAATTTTACATACACATAACACCCAGACCCGAAACAACAATTTGTGCACCACATGAAAAGTTGTTGCACAGCCATCATGTCATCTATGATTTGTCTTGCACTAGTTCTACAATAAAATAAGGATATACACACTAGTGTATAGTATATTTAAACATTGATTGCAAATTTTCAGATTGGAAATCGGTGTTCAATCAGTGTATGAGGATATTGCCAGAGACACAAACAGAGGACATACAGTCAAGGCTGTTTGTGAGAACTTCAACCTAGCTAAGGATGCTGGGTATAAGGTATACTTTACTGTTAATCTTTTAAGACTAGTAGCTACAGTGCAGCTCATATTTTTTAATATCTATTTCATCATCATCATCATCATCATCAGCCTATAAGTGCCCACTGCTGAGCAAAGGCCTCTTCTCACACGGAGAAGGTTAGAGCATTAATCACCACGCTTGCTCAATGCGGGTTGGTGATTTCAAACTTATAATTAGAAATTATAAGTCCAGGTTTCCTCACGATGTTTACCTTCATCGTATGTCAGTGGTGTCTAAATAATCATAGAAAGTACATATAACTCGGAAAAAGTCACATTGGTACTTGCCAGGTTTTGAACCCGCACCCTCATGCATGAGAAGCGGGCGCCTTAACCTCCGGGCCACCACGACATTTTTATCTATTTCTTCATTTTAATTTTCTATAAAACATGATAATTTTACTTTCAGATTGTTGCACACATGATGCCTGACTTACCGAATGTGGACTTTGAAAGAGATGTGGAACAGTTCATTGAATTCTTTGAGAACCCAGCATTCAGAGCTGATGGTCTAAAGATATATCCCACACTGGTGATCCGAGGAACTGGCTTGTATGAGCTATGGAAGACTGGGAGGTACAGGAGTTACCCTCCTTCCACTCTGGTGGATCTGATTGCTAAGATATTGGCTCTAATTCCACCTTGGACTAGGGTTTACAGGTAAATATTATTGCCCTAATTAATCATACTAATGTTATTATTATAAATGTGGAAGTTTGTGTGAATGTATGGATGTATATTTGTTTGTAATTCTTTCACGCAAATTAAATATAACAAATAATTTGCTTTTTATCAACATACTAAGAGGGTGTGGTCGCGGGTGGAAGCTAGATTAAAATAATGCTGTAATTTGCTATTAACTTTTTTGAGATGTTCATATTTCATGGTTTGTATGACATAATCAAAATCTTAATTTCATCTCTTTGTTTATTAAAACTTATAAAAATTTGTATATTTTCAGAGTACAAAGAGATATTCCTATGCCTCTTGTCTCATCTGGTGTAGAGCATGGTAACTTGAGGGAGCTGGCCCTCGCTCGCATGGCAGATTTGGGCACAGACTGCCGGGATGTCAGGACTAGGGAGGTCGGCATCCAGGAGATACATAACAGAGTCAGGCCTTACGAAGTAAGTGAAGAGTGTAGATTTCTTTAAAATCATTATATTACAATGTAACTGAACAGTGAAAAGAAAATATACCTGAAAGAATCTAGGAGTGTGCACAACTGTAGATCTCGAATTTAATTTATTTCTTTAAAAAATAGTTGTCCCACACTAGGAGGTCCTCATGTGGCATGGGTGTGTTTAGAAACATTCAATTTCACATGCATACCACACTCAGACCCGTAACAACAATTTGTGGATCAAACAAAGAAAGGACATTGAACCCACAATAGTTGCTTGGTAGCTAGTTGCCCAGCCACCGCGTCAACCGTGCATTCAACTATATGGATATTTTAAAAAATTAAGCTAAAGAGTAGTCGTTGGTTATTGCTCAGAGGCTTAGGTAACTTTGATGTGATTTGCTGATTTGAAATGAGAGACATGAAGAATACAAGCTCAACTTTCATTGCTATGTTGTATAATTATAAAAGTACTACTTTTTAAAACATAAGCCTTCTTTTCACAAACAATTCTCTTCGAACTATTTTCAGGTAGAACTAATAAGACGCGACTACACAGCGAATGGAGGCTGGGAGACGTTCCTAGCATACGAGGATCCTGACCAGGACATATTAGTTGGTCTTTTAAGGCTCAGGAAGTGTGCCTCAGACACATACAGGCCAGAACTAAAGCCTGGACCTAATGCTAACTTCAAACAGTGCAGTATTGTTAGGGAGCTGCATGTTTATGGATCTGTTGTGCCAGTAAGTATAATAATACCTAATTCAGGGTTTTTTTTTGAGGGGAAAATGATCAAATGACTTCTCCCGCCCAGGGTCGAGCAGGAGAGAGTGTCAGATTCTTACTGACTTAAACCCCCCCCCCCCCTGTTCCTTTTCCTGCTCTAAGCCGAGGCCGCGGTGCCTCAATGAGCTAACCCTGCAACCGCAACGCAACGTTACAAGTTTAATGATGTACCGTGTACTGATATAAAGCAACGATAATTTCCCCCCACAATATAAAAGTATAATATAAATGCTTTCATGGGTCATGTCTCCGAACTTCTATAGTTGATAAGAGGCACATAGTTCAAGCTATATGCTTCAGTTATGTACTCTATTAAAAAAAATCTATTCAAAATAAGTAGGGCTCTTTAGACCGTTATTTATTGCCTCTGGAATGCAACTGTAATCTTGATAAACCTATTAATACAATAGTACTTGTTCAACCAATGTTACGTAAAAATCGTTTTTGAATTTGCGCTCACTGGTTTGGTTTCGTCTAGTTGCGTCTAGTCGTTTCATCCCGGCTTCATCTTGTTTTTTTTAACCGACTTCCAAAAAAAGGAGGAGGTTCTCAATTCGACCATATTTATGCTTTTTTTTTTACATATAATTTGATGTGTGAAATTCATACATAAAACCTACATACTAAAGCACTTGTGTTATTCAGTCTTTCAAAGTATTTTCAAACTATTTTAGGTAAATGCAAGAGATCCAACCAAGTTTCAACATCAAGGTTTCGGCATGTTACTCATGGAGGAAGCTGAAAGGATAGCTAAGGAGGAACATGGCTCTGACAAAATAGCCGTTATCTCTGGAGTCGGTACCAGAAACTATTATGCGAAGATTGGATACCATCTTGAGGGACCTTATATGGTCAAAATGCTTCTGTGATAATACATAAACAGATATACTACAAGTATATGGAGTAATTATGAATGTACTTTACATAATAAATATAATGAAGTTAACGATGATTGTTTCATTGTTTCATTTTCTAGTGTTATTGGGGTGTGTTTGGTAAGTAAGAAATAGTTGGTAAGACAGAAAAAACTCGGAAGAAGAAATAGTTTTCAATGCTACACAAAAAAACCAGTTATTAAAATAGTGTTTAGTACATCTACTTACTATTTCTCATCTAAGAAGTAATAGTTTCTAAAAGCCCACCCATCCTTTTCCCAACCTTTCAGACCGGACCCGCCGCTATCAATTAACCCGACGGAAATCTACCACAAGCACGTCGGTATGCTGCCAAACTACGCCGGACACGTTCCTGGATGCATGTTCAGGTAAATTATGGTGTTTATACATAATATAGCTTGTTTATTCAGTGAAAAAAGATTCAGAAGAAAAAGACGGAGATTCGGTCCTCCAGTAACCTCACTCACACGGTTGTCTATGAGGCCGAGGTATAACTCAGGTTGCGCCAGCCCGCCGTCGCTACCTTCTGTGAGGCCGTGATGCTCGCAAAGGAGGCGGCGGAAAGGGACAGAGAGGCTGCCTCCTCTCTCCCCTCCCGCAGCAGACGCACTAGACGTCGTAGGGTGGCCGACCTGCGGCCACCGTAGGGCGCGGCCTGCGGACGACAGACTCGGGGCGTCTTGTCGTCCGACCAGCAGCAGGCCTCGAGGCGGCGGCGCCGTGTTCCGCGCGCGCCTCATAGTGGAGTCCTGCGGTCGGGGTGACGGCCGCAGTGGGTGACGGGGCCCGCCTTACCATCTGGCGGGCCAATACCCGTCGGGAGGTTGCGACGAATGCTTCGGCGATACCCACCCCTACGACACATGGGTAAGTGGAGGAACACCGGGTTGGTTTTTAATCAGTAAGAGTCTGACAGTAACCTTCTCCCTTCCCCGCACGTCAAAATCGTACCGCTCGTGAAGGTACGCTTATTTTTTTGTAACTTTTCTAGCTTTCAACCCCATTTACTTAGATAAAAAATATTTCACAAATTAAAAATGCAGGCAAATATTTTATCATTATTCTATATACAAGAAAGTGGTTAAAATTGTAAGTTTGTGTAAAAGCAGGCAATTAAAAAGCAAGTAATTATCAGAAACGCTGCTCGGATTTCTAAAATTCTTTCACTTTTCACTGATAGATAGTTTTAAACCGTGTTTTAAACTAACTTAAGCTTTAAACGCGTGATTCAAATCTCGGGATACTTACATTACTTATATACTTACGCGTGCGAAGCCGTGGGCGGAAGCTAGTCTATTTATTATTGTCATTTTTCTTTTCAGGTTTGGGAAAACATACGGGAATGACACGAGAGATGCTAAACGGTGGCTTCGTGGGGATTTCACTTCCTAAATCATCTATCTTAGCAACGCTGTGACCAACAAGTGAAGATGAAGCGTATTGCGCTAGCAATACGGTCCAAATCAAAAGTTTACTAAGTATTTTGAAACGATTAAATTTCAATGTTTTGATTTGGTATTGAGTAATTGAAATAAAACAATCAGTTTTGACGAATCGTTTTCTTTTTAATAATAAACAATATCTTACACAGATTAATAGGAAATTAAGCTTCTGTATAATTTGATTCTTATAAAGTTAAACAAAAGAAATAACATAAAAACATCCAAATACATTTGAGATGGCAGTAACAATGTATAAAAATATATAACTATTTTATATACATAATATATCACAATTGACAGTATTTATATAAAATTACCTAGTTTCCCTTCTTACTGTTCCATTCCTTGATAAGTTTGCTGGCCAGGCGTAAGTTTTCGTCTTTCTGTAAAAAAATAAGTTGCATAATGGAGTATACTTATGTAATGTAATTGGAGTTCGTCTAGGTACGACGGTACGGTTAGCGCGGTGGCTGGGCAACAGGCTACCATGAAACATGCCGCAGGTTTGACTCCTGCACGTAACAAACTCGTTTGTGTAATCTACAAATTGTTTTCTTGGTATAATACCGAATTGTAAAAATCAACGTTTATTTCGAAGAAAAAAGGAAATGTTAAATGTACTATTTGAAGCTGGTGTTACATTAAGACTTATCATTTAAGCTGTTCCACCTTTAAATCCAGTATCAGTTTTATATACCAATTTCCACAACAACAAAAGTACACGATGAGACTGTCCTACAAATCATTGAAAACGATTATATTCGTGAAATGATTCTCTACCTATTGCAACCGACAATAAGACCGTATTTACCTTGATAAAGCAGAATCTGACGTAGTTCTCTCCTAAATGCTTGTGTGGCTCCGAATAAAATGCAGAAGGTGGAATGGTGAGGACGCTCGTCTCTTTCGCGAACTTCTTAGTAAACTTATAGTCCTTGTACTTGTCCGGCTCTTGTGACAGATCGATTTTGTTGGCTGTGAAAAACAAATTATTAATATTATATCGATAAAACCGATATTAAAGATATTCAAAGAGGTTAACTAAAATTTGTTGGCAACACCAACAAAAAATATTAGTATTTATTAATTTATGGTAACACTTGATCTTTTAGATCTGTTGTTTCCTTTACAAATACGAAATAAATAGTAGTAATAGTTAAACTATCTACAAATGTACATAGTCTGGCCATAAACATTTGAATTTGGAATTTGTCATTTATATAAGTATAATTTTTCATTGTGTTTTCTTATTTTGGCGCCAATAAATTGTTCAATATTTTGCGATATTAAAATGGAGTGGGGTGATAAAGAGAACCGAATCGCTGTGATTGCATTACACAAAGTGGGTATGGAGCCAAATGCAATTTTTAAAATTCTCCACACGCTTGGCATTAGTCAAATGTTTGTGTACCGGGCTATTAATAGGTACAATGAGACCTCCTCTGTGACAGAAAAAGATCGAAATAGGTGGTCAAAGCAGTAAGGGAAAGAATTCGAAGAAATCCTGTCCGAAAGCAAAAGATTTTATATCGGGAGATGAAGATAGCATCTAGAACCATGTCGCGTATTTTAAAAGACGACTTAGGACTTGTAGCCTATAAGACACGCACTGGACATTTTTTAAATGATAATTTAAAAAAGAATAGGGTGATAAAATCTAAACAACTACTGAAGCGGTACGCAAAGGGAGGTCACAGAAAAATTTTGTTTACGGATGAGAATATTTTTATAATTGAGCAACATTTTAACAAACAAAATAACCGTATTTATGCTCAAAGCTCTAAGGAAGCTTTTCAATTAGTCGACAGAGTGCAACGTGGGCATTATCCGACTTCAGTGATGGTTTGGTGGGGTGTTAGCTATGAAGGAGTGACTGAGCCATACTTTTGCGAAAAAGGTATCAAAACATCGGCACAAGTGTATCAAAATACCATTAAGCCCCTTAACGACACCATGTTCAATAACCAACAATGGTCCTTCCAGCAAGACTCGGCGCCGGGTCATAAAGCTCGGTCCACGCAGTCTTGGTTGGAAACGAACGTTTCCGACTTCATCAGAGCTGAAGACTGGCCGTCGTCTAGTCCCGATCTTAATCCGCTGGATTATGATTTATGGTCACTTTTAGAGGAACGTTTAAACGTTCAAAGGACTCAACGTTTCAAGGGACTTGTTATGTTTTAAATTGTTTTATATTTATGTATTAAACTTACATACTGTAAAAGTAATAAATGTTATTTGCAATAAGCTTTAAGTGTGGGAGAGCCATGCTTCGGCACGAATGGGTCGGCTCGACCGGAGTGATACCACGGCCTCACAGAAAACCGGCGTGAAATAACCACTGCGTTGTGTTTCGCCGTGTGAGTGAGGTTACCAGAGGCCCAATCCTTCCCCTTCCCCAATCCCTCCTCAATCCCTAAACCTCCAAATCCCTAATCCCTAAAAGGTCGGCAACGCACTCGTAACTCCTCCGTTGCGAGTGTCCATGGGCGGCGCTGATTGCTTACCATCAGGTAATCCGTCTGCTCGTTTGCCGAGCTATTACATAAAGAAAAAAAAAATAGAAATTTTTTTTTTTATTTGTTACAGTGTTTATGGCTAGACTAGGTATATCAGACACTGCATCTTTTTATTAAGAAAATCCAGAATCTGAGACTGCTTAGTTTTGGTGAAGGTTCATTCTGTTTGTACTATCCGTACCTCAAATCGGGTATTAAGTTTGTAAGTGAAAGTACAAATGTTTCTAATTTTTTGAAAGCATTAACACTACATAGGTATTTTTAAAATGTTATAACGTCTATTACATCTTTTACGTTTAATTGTTTCGAAGAACAAAAAACACAATACATGATCACTTTTCATCTAAATATTAAATATCTTTTTCTAGAGAATGCTGTTTGTGAATGTTGACAATTAGATGTAGTCAACGAAGAATATTTTTAGAGGGATGAGATAACAGGGTGTAAAGTTCAATCTCCATTAAAAAGGGAGGATCCTTCAACCAGAAGGGTGTTATGTCTGGTGGACTACTGCCCGACGGTTGTTATCAGGATTTTGTTCTGATTGCGTGAAGACCTATTATACCGCAATATGGTGCTGTTCCTTTAAGTTGGGCGGTAGATGTCGCTTCAAATATATTAAACTCACCCAATTTAGTCCAGTCGGCGACGATGAAGTAGCCAGACTCGGGTATCGTGGGGTTGAAGCCGTTTTCCTTGAGGGTTTCCACCAGCATGTCCCTCTTGGGCATCAGTTCCCGGGCCAACGCTTTGAAGTAGCAGTCTGGGGAATCGCGGCGGGCTAGCTCAAACTCCATAGAGCGGGCAATCGCTTCCTAAAATAGGGAGATTAGCTAATGATTGGCTAATGAGTGTTCGAATTACGCGTCACAAATATCAAATATAGCGAGGAGTTAGAAGGATTGGAGATGTAGGAGTGGGGGGAGGGATTCGTGAAGGATTGGAAATTGGGGGGGAGGTGAGGTCGGGGTTGCTGTGAATGATTTAATGAGGAGGGTAGCAGGGAAGGATTCGAGATCAGAGGAGCAAGAAAGGATTGAAGGAAGGATTCGCGCGCAATTCCAAGCATAGTAACAACTGACCAATTGACAGAGACCAAGAATGATGATTATTCACCTGTATAGGAGTACAGCAGGTGTAGACACAGTTCTGGTGGACCACTTGCAGGTTCTTCATGAGGGCGGCCGGTCCGTACGCCCAGCCCGTCTTCCAGCCAGTCACCGAGAACGCCTTGCCGGCAGACCCGACTGTGATTGTACGCTCCCACATACCTGGTAGAGAAGCTGAAAAGAAAATGTTACGGATATAATCGTTCGGTCGTTTTTAGACAAAATAGTACTTAGTCTTATAAACTATTGATTGGTGTGGTTGGTGCGGTGGCTGGGTAACTGGCTGCCGTGCAACGTGTCGCGGGTTCGATTCCCGCACGGAACAACTCTTTGTGTGACCCACAAATTGTTGTTCCGGGTCTGGGTGTCATATGCATGTGAAATTGTGTGTAACCGCACCCACGACACAGGAGAAAATCCAAGTGTGGGGCCAACGACCAACGTTTAAAAAAATATATATATATATTTTACAAACGTAACTCGACTAGTTTCGAGCTACGCTAGGGGCTCATATTCATAAGCAACATTGCAATACTCACAACGTGATGAACGTCGCGCCGCCTACTCGAACATTACACATAATTAATTAGTGAAATATGTCTTATGAAAGCTATAATACAACGATCTAAATAATATAGACCTACAGACAAAAATATTAATGGTTGATAGGATGCGGTGATCCCATTTTTGAGACATAGGTAGATATTTTCGCATAGTGTTATTGTTATTCTTCTTATACTGTTTCTAGATGTCCAAAACTAGTAAAAAAAAAACTATAAAAATATGTTTCAAACTTACCGATCCTAATATGCTGAGCGGGTTCATAGGCCATCCATTCGTACACCTCATCAGACAAGCACAGGACATTGTGCTTTTTACACAGATCTGCTATTAACTCCAACTCATGCTTGGTGAAAACCTTGCCTATTGGGTTGTGGGGAGTATTCAGGATGATCATCTTCGTACGAGAGTTGAAGAGACCTTCCAACTCCTTCTCATCTAGCACCCAGTCCGCTGATGTTACAGTTCCTGATGTATTTTTCTAAAAGAAAAACGTTTTATTACTAAGGTTGAAGAAATATATTGGGAAGTGATACCAGAGTGATTGGTATCACTCCGGCCTCACAGAAAACTGGCGTCAAACAACCACATCGTTGTTTTTCGCCGTATGAGTGAGGTTACTGGAGGCCCAATCCTTCCCCTACCCCAATCCCTCTCCATTCCCAAAATCTCCAAAACCCCTAATCCCCAAAAGGTCGGCAACGCACTCGTAACTTCTCCGTCGTTGCGGGTGTCCATTGGCGGCGTTGATTGCTTACCATCAGGTAATCCGCTTGATCGTTTGGCGACCTATCACATATAAAAAATGTATACTTATAAAAAAGGAATGTATAAAAATTCAGTAGAATTCTATAGTTGATAATGGTTTTTATTATAGATGTATTACAAGGTTGCCTATTAATTTAAAAATTTCAGGGAAGTATAAATAAATAACTTCTTTCATAAAAAAATATTATACTCAAAGTAACGAAGACCTAGAACTATTTATTAGTATTCGGTATTAATTGACAGATTTTTTTGGCGTAAAAAACATTTCGAAGATTAATTTAACAATGGGCACAGAAGATAAATTGTGTTGCTCATCTTTTGTTTAATAAAATATAAATAAAATCTGTCAAGCCGTCCCTAATTATCGATTCAAGTGCTAGCGTGACGTTCAGGAAGGTAAGCACTTATAAATTAATTGATACACAATATAATAAAATTGATTATAATAAAAACGAAATAAGTTATTAAGAGCTAGATGTCTGTAGGATAAAGATTAATATCATTTTAACACAAAATAAAAAATATACCAATTAATATACCTTTATTTTTTTTAAATACTATTGTCGTTCTAGAAACCTTTACCCTTTATTTTGGTGCATTAGTGGGTTACGCCAAAATCATCTGTGTGTGCCGGTAATCACATACTGTATGCTTGTAGTTTCTTTGTGGAACAAAATCCGCAATGTGGAAATTCGCCAAAGAACCAGAATCATATAGAAGCTCTTAAAATCTGTAATCTGAAGTGGCAATGGGCAGGCCACATCGCTCGAAGGACAGACGGCCGATGGGACAGAAAAGTGCTCGAGTGGCGACCACAGACGAAATACGTAGTTTTGGAAGTCCTTGTGTAAGGGGGACTGACGACCTGATCAGAGTCGCGGAGAGCCAATGGATGCAGTGGTGACTTGTCGTTTGAAGTGGAGGTGGGTAAGCGCAATAAAGAGTCACCGCGGCCTCGGCCCGTGGTAGGAGAAGGAACTGGGGGTTTTTAGTCAGCCAGTCTGACATTATTAGGCGCGAGAATTCATTTGGTGATTTTCCCTTCACAAAAAGGGGGGAGAAACCTTTGACAGATGATGGTGACTACATCACTTAAATTGGATAAAAAAATGGCAAATTAAAGTATACTTACGGGGTTAAGCGCAATGAACCTGGGGATTCCTCCAGCAGCCTTGATCATGAAGTCGTAGCAGTCAAAGAAGGGCTCAATGACTATCACCTCATCGTTTTGGTCCACATGTCCTGAAAGTATTACATGAGTGAATATAGATATTATATCCCATGAATAAGAGTCCCGTTGTGACTTGAAACTAGTAGAGATTTTCTGCGTCAATTCATGTGAGTAGGTATGTCGTCATTTTTAATAAATTGAGTAGGTCTCATAAAAATTACCTACTTTTAAATTAATACAAAAAAATCAAAGGTACGTACTTAGAATTAGCAATTATCGACAGTTATCTACGAAATTATACGTGTTCTGGTGTTCTATTGTTGTACAAAATTGTTAATTTGTTAATGCTCGCGAAATAGGCTAGATGATATTTTTCCGCAAGTAAGTCCTTAATAACTAATACTTGCTATAACTAATTCTAGTCAAAAAATTTACCTACTTATAATTTTTTCCAACTTGTGAAATAAATTAAATAAAATGTGTAATATTTTTTTTATGAACTAACTAAACCTACTTATTTATTCGAATGACCCGTTATGGTGGGTTTTATCAGTGACTATTCCCCATTCACTATCTCCGTGTCAAGGGGGCATGGAACACATAAGATTACAAACTATAGTTTTTACTTAATCATGGTAAAGTGATGGGTCAAGTAATAGATGACGAAATAAATATTTCACAATATTCTAACAATTTAGATTTTTTGACGTCATTAAATCATTTGGTGGTAGATAAAAAAGAGTGACAAGCTGCAGAGTGATATTTTAAGTGAAAATTATTTTATTAAACTAGAAAGTTTCTCACTAATTTTAACTTCCTAAGAAACACCACACTTTTAAATGGTCTGTATTGTAATGTAAGAATCTGTCAAGGAATAGGACATAGATTAAAGGATTAGCAAACTGAAGTTGAAGCTATAACATGAGTAAGTATGTATCATTATTTTCTATACAACAATGTTATAAACTTGTTATCTTTTACATATTAAGTGACAGAAGAGTTTAAGGTCTCTGATAAGACGGCTAGAGAATTGCCTTATAAAATATAAATATTTAATTTGAATAAAATTTAATACAACTACAAATGTAGTGACGGGTTTTATCTGATAACAATTTATGGCAGTTCATCCTACTAATATAACACAGGCGAAAGTCTGTAATTATGGTCGGATAAATGTTTGTTAGGTACTCTTACACGTAAAAAACTACTGAACAAATCAGAATGAAATTTGGCATAGGAATAGATTATAGTACTGCGGGCCAAGCCGCACGCAGAAGCTGACAACATATAATTTTATGCCTATCATGAACACACAAGAGATAAAATATGATAGCACAGTCATTAACTGATTTCAGAAATCTCTATGTACCTACATACCTATAGATTTTTTTTTTTGGAATCCTATTGTGTTAATGTAATAGGGTAGTCTTCTAAGCCAAAAATAAATAATTTTGACTTTTTAATACAAAGACTTATTGAAATATAGGTGAGTAATTATACTTTCGTTCATTAATTTCACGATTTTCATTCAAATTTTTCGGAGATAAGTATGATATTTGATGTTAAAACATTCCGACGTTAAATGTTGTTATCTTATACAAAAATAATAGAAAAGTATAGTTTTTGACATAAAAGTATTGAATTTGACTAGTTGTAAACTACCGGATTCTTACCATCCTTACATTGGATTCTTCAAATTTAAACTGAATTCCTTAAACATTAGGTACAATTTTCTCTGTTGGCTGGTAATTAATAAAATTGGTACTATAAATAAGTTTTCTCACCTAAAATAGCAGAGTACAGTGCTTCATAAGCACCGTATGTGACAATGATCTCATTAAATGGGTCAATATTCTTGCCTACCAATGGGGAGTACAACTTAGATAAACTCTGCACAAGTGGTGGGTGGCCCTGAAAATAAAAACAGACAAAGCTTATTATTTCTTTTTTCAAAAATAGAATTTTTCTTTTATGTCTCATAATGGAATTTCTTCTTCATTCTTGAGCACAAATGAAGACTGAAATAAATGCTTCGACTTGGAGTTTAACAGGAATGAAGTACTCCTCAGAATTTATGAAAAAGATCTAGGTACCATTTTCATGACATTGCTTGCATCCAGATTGATTTATGAATCAATTATTGAAAGAACTTTAGAGATGTTCATTTTAAGGCTTTACGAAATAAGTCTTTACTCATACTGTCTACATAGGCAGACTAAATGCTGAGAAGAGTTTTTAAGGAGGTTTCAGTTGGCATAAATAATTATTCTATAGAAATTTATGTTTAAATCACTTCAATCTATCCAATTTTGTTTATACTAAATAAACATTTTATTGTGTCCTATTTGTTAATATGTATAATAAACTTACAAATCCTCTGGTATACTGATTTAACAATGCATTATCACCCGTTGCAATTTCACTTAATGCCTTTGTGACATGTTCTGGTGCATGGTAGTCAGGGAAACCCTGACCTAAGTTCACTGCAGGCTTGTATTCAGCAGCCAGTTGGATGTATTCAACCCTGAAAACATTATACATTTAAAACTTTTTACAATATACATTATTATTGCACCAGTTGCCTTTTCCACCACTACATAATGACTAGAACTCTGTTAAAAGTGAATCTAGGGACACTATTTCACCTAAACCTACTGACTCATGGTTCAAAACCCACAGTGGCCACCCTAAGAAATGCTGTCATTTAGTTTAGAGTCCCCTGCAGGCATTGGTCTGGTTAAGCAAACATGCTGAACAACAAGTGGTCCTATCAAAACTGTAGGGCTTTCCAATAGCGTATTTCTGATATCAATCTTTAGTTTTTTATCTATAATTAAATGCAACATGGTTAACATAAGCTTTTATCTATATCCTGCCTTTTGGCGATCTGTTACTAAATAACAATGTCACATAGTGATGGCCAAAGAGGTTTGAGGGCTACATCCAGGTACAAAAATATATAATTATTACAGACAACTTGACGCTAAATGAAATGGATTATATATTTTGGGCATTATTATAATGTGAATAACTGATGAGAAGTAAGTGACAAAGAGATATTATCATAGATACACAAACTTAAAACGCAGAATAAAATGAGGTTGTATGTTAAAACTTAAAAATTATGGATATCTTGTTTTGGCAATGAATAAACAAGAAGTAATTTAGAGACATAACAAATCTTCAGATAATATAAAAGTGTTTACTCAGTTAATGTTGTAAAATAATAATTTAATTTTATAACTATTCTGTATACTTAAGAAATAAGATAATAAATGTTGTTTATATGGTTAATTGCTGAGTTTCTTGTGATGGTAGAGGCACTGTAATTGTGGAAATTGTGCCGGTACATGATGAAAAAAATATATTGCAAGTATCTACCATCTAAAATCATACATTGTACCTAATTATGGTTTAAGTACCTAAACAGAACTAGTTGACAGGGTAATTAAAACCATTTAATGAAGCTTACATAACAAAAACCACTCATACAAACTGTGTAAACTGAAAAACCAATCTATGTGTAATGTAAAATAATACCAAAATTGCGTAAATCTAACTCACCAAACACTTTTTTCGCCCGCTCCATACCTCGCAGGTAATTTGAATTTTTCTGCCATTGTGTTTGTACTACTAGCACGACTTATATTTTTAAATGCGTAGCTTAAATGCTTTAACTCGACCACACCGTACTGGCTCCGCGTAGCTGTGCACAACGATTGCCCCAACCTAAACATTATAAAACTACTTAAATGATAGTAGAACAGTGATAACCGTGAAACAGTAAACTTAGCCTAACATAGCATGACAGAATTAATGCAAGGGAGCGTCAAGTCAGAAGTCAAACTGATAACAAAACTCACAATATTTTAATTGGCTCAAAAGCGGTCGATAATCAGTATTCATCAATTTTCTATAAGTATCAGCTGATGTTTGATTACGCTACTTATTTTGACAGCACACAAAAAGTGTTCGAGAGTTAGCAAGTACCTTCCATCCTAATTGGATCGCTATACCATTACAACTTACTCACGGATAACGGAACGGTTTTCATTTCATTATCGAGTTGTTTTTACTTTCGGTCTATTGAGTAATAATCGAATCGGTATCGACGATTGAATTTTCATAATTATTCATCTGGTCATAAAAATGTCAAATTAGTATTTTGATTGTAAAAAGATATAGAATAGATTTATTGAAGAATTTACTAGTATGTACCCAAGAATAAATAAATCTGGAAGAGAAAATTTGTATTGAAGAGTGAAGCGAAATCTGTCACGATACTGTCATTTGTCAATGCCAAAAGTCAAAACATAGCGTGGAACTAAACGTTGATAACATTGCACATTTTTGTGTCAATCCAAAGCTAAATCATACTCATAATGTAGACAGGTAAATCCAAAGTAAAAATTGGAATTGTCATAAAAATATAAATAAACCGTGCGTGGTTAATCTGGTTGAGTTGAATAGGTTTTCTTAAGTAACGAATACCTAATTACAAAGGTCTTTGAAACTGACAGTTATTAAGAAAATTAATTAATATTAATTCACTAAGTAATTCCTTCAACCTTTAAGTTAAAAAAAAGTAAGAAAGTTTTGCTGGAATGTGTCAACTGTGATCAGAAACTTACAATTGAATCTGGGTCTGGGATATGATGATTTATGGATCAAAATTAATTCAAATCACGGAGCCTGTATGAGAACAATTGAGCGAAACGAGCTTGGACGCTCATAAAGCAGTCAATTTTTTATCGTAAATTGTAATTTTTATGATTCCTATTTTTGTATCGCGAGTACTTACCTTTTTTGTGAGGGGGAGGGAGGTCCTTCTCCTGCTTAAAGACGAGGCCTCGTTACCTTATTGCGCTAGCCTCGAAACCCTGGCTGAACATCGGCCATGTAGGGCCCCGTCTTTCAGGAAGCTGCCGTGCCCGGTAAGCACCTACGTCAAGGCTAGGAGGCCAAGGCGTCTCTCAAGCCGCTCCTCAACGAGGGGTCAATAACAGCGTGCCCGGCCTTCGGTTGCGACAGACGTGTTGCTCCCACTTTGCAATGAGGTCACGCCGGAACTCATAATGCCACGCACAAATTGAACGCGGCAGTGGAATTCGCCCCAGCGACGCGCGCGAGCTCCTTCGCTTCCAGATCCCATGGCAGTGATCTGGCAAGTAGGTTCGCCGCCCAGGAGATCGTGCGACAGCAGCGGATTATTCGTACGTAGGTATGGTGTGACCCTCTAGGACGCGACCAGTGCATGAGCTGGTCCTCGCCTCAAAACCGGCGCCCATACAGGGACCCCATAGAGAGCCATGGATCGCCCGATCTCCAAATACAATCTCCGCAGGAGGTGTTTGGAAGGAGCAGCTCGAGCGCGGGCTCGTTCTATTCCAACCTAGGAGCCAAACTTCGACAATGATCCGCGAAGTTTAACTGCCCCATCTGTAGTGGTCTGTTGGCTCGTGGGGGTACATAGTGCCTGTACATTTAATTTTGGTTTCTGTTAACCGCAAAACGTGCAATATTGGGCTATTTATACCCATTGGTTTCGTGGTGGCTGTCCATCTATTTCAAGATCATCTTTAGGTTATATTTGCATATGGAGTAGGTGTATATGAATGTTAGTGAGACATGAAGTGATGCGTGCATTTTTCGAAATTCGGAATGAATGAAGTGAAATTCGGTGAGTAAGGTTTCCGCGTCTAGCTCTCTGATTGGTTGATTTACATGGAGCAGGCTAATCATTGCGCCGGATATCAGGTATCCTCACTCAGTAAAATCATCCCTGTATCCAATACGAATTCGATTTCACCTCGTATAAAAATTGACAAATATTTAAGAAGTGAGAGTGAGAATTTTTATACTTATACATAGTGTCGTGTTGGCCCAAAGTTTAGCGCTCGCTTCTCTTGCATGTGGGTGCAGGTAGGAAACCATGCAAGTACTTACCTAGCTACCAACGTGACTTTTTTCCAGTTATATATTATCATCTTGAGTAAACCTGGACTTTATAATTTCTAATTAGGTATAAGTTTTACCGCGTGGTAATTAAAGTTCAAAACCTTCTTCCCCTGAGAAAAGGCCTTTGCTTAGCAGTAAGAGCATATAGACTGATGATGATGATGATGATCATGATACCTGTATAGAAACATACATACGTATAGTAAAGACACGTGCATTGCCTTCACCCACATCTTAGGAGTAGGTCAGTTAATCCAAAGATGAATGAATTCTCGCCTCTACGTACATTTGGTTCAGTACATCGGGCACTGCAATTTCCGATTCACTACTATTCCTGTTTCGCTTCGATGAAACACGTGGAACGTTCCAGATATAAATAGAGGAGAGGTTGCTAATGATTTTCTAAGGAAATACCGATCCAGGTTGTTTCTATGAAGTTACTTTCATGTTGTTTTTGTTGTTCTTCTGATTGACGTTTTCATTAAGAAAATTAATTAATAAGTAAATACTTAATATTAATAACTCTAATATCTATAGTTCACAAACTAATAACGATACGTTTTTTAATTCGCCATTTACTACTCGTATTATTAAGATGAATTTGGAAACTATGAAAACGTAAAAAGTTTATCGTCGCGCGTCGTCCGGGGACTCAATATTTTCGTTCGACAGTCCCGCGTCAAAGTTTAAACTAATGGCCTGAGCTGATGAATAAGAAAATTCTATATTAACTAAACTTTCGCACGATTGGCTTTTTACCTGTTTAAAATCATCGATTGTGCGCCCAGCAAGACTGCCGTAATTCTTATCCAATTTATAACTACCATGCCAGTCTACCTAATATGTAAGTATCTAATAGATATATGGCCCTTTACACCAAGTAATTTAAATGAATATTTTCGAAGATTATTACAGATTTAATGCAGAGATATACCTAAGGGGAGTACCTATATGTATATAAAATACACTTTTTTTAAATAAAACGTTGCCCCACATTAGGATTTTCTCCTGTGTCGTGGGTGTGGTTACAAACATACAATTTCACATACACATGACACCCAGACCCGTCACAATAATTTGTAAATCACACAAAGAGTTGTTCCGTGCGGGAATCGAACCCGCGACACGTTGCACGGCAGCCAGTTGCCCGGCCGCCGCACCAACCGTGCAGTCAATTCAAAAAAGTGTACTAACACGACTTTCTTTTATATATATAGATTAAAGGTTATGGATTGAATTATGATTTTAACAATGAAGAAAAGTAGGCATATTTCTATCTATGTATATTTCTGTAAACTTTATTCCTGGATTGGATCTTACTAGTATTATGAACGCGAACTCCTACTAATGTTATGGATTGATGGTCAGATAGACAGATTGGTTTTTTCAGGTAAAATCAACTTCGATTATAGTCTGGAATATCACATAGACTTTATAAACCGGTAATGCGGGCCAAACCGCTGAAAGAATATTAAGAAGTAAATTATATAATAATAGGTACGAAATGTTGCAAAGAAAATTCTAGTAGGTACGTCATGTACCTACTGACATATTACAAAGTTGCCGTCTCTATTCGAATCACGTTTTCCATTTCCGTTTAATATCTTCTTTTACGTTAGTGTAGTGTTTTATTTTTAATAAAAAATAGTATAAAATGTCTGCCCATATCAGGAGACATACATCATTGAAAATTGTCGTGACTTGTGGCTGTATTTTTGTCAGGTGGGAAGGTGTATTTGTTTCTAAATAAATATATCTACGCGTGTGTTTTCGGTAAAACGCGTAATATTAGATAATAAAGTACCTATTTTGAAAAATTGTATACAAATCAAAGTTTTGATCCTTCTTTGTTTCGGTAACTTAAATATTCACCTAATACTAATACAGGTATATACCTTTTGAATCCGTCCCCTCCCTCAATCCATCTCCAATACCTAAATCTCCGCAACCTTTATCTCCAAATCGGCAAACTCGAAACTCTTCCTGCGTTGTCCATGGGCGGCGTTGATTGCTTACCATCAGGTAATCCGCCTGCTTGTTTGCTGTCCTATCACATACTTTCTTATCGTTCATTGTCAGGAAACTATAATTGCATTCTAAATTTCGAAACAATAGATACGTTTTTTAAAATAGGTAACTAAATCGTTTAAAAACTTTTATTCAATTTAGGTTGGTATATTCTTTGACAAACTTTCCTTGAAAATATTTCTATTTTGATCAATCCTGGTCCTAATATTTGATTTATTTGTTGGCAAAATAAACCAAATATCTTTTGACGTAAATGTAGTAGGGATGAAAGGTTCGTTTATTCTCCTGAGGACGCAGATATCGCGTGTAGGTAGTGTTAAGGTAAAATAGGGCCGTAATGGATAAAACTACTTTATGTTGGGCTTCCCTTTGCGAAAGTAAGTACTCTGTCAGTAGGTATGTGTGATGTAACCGAGAATAGATAAACAAGCAAAAAATCACTTACAAACGACTATTTTTGTTTTGTAGTGTTAGCAATAATTTTAGTTATAAGTACCTAATCAGCAAAAAGTTTTAATTAAAGACTCTTTAAGTATAGTACCATAGACAAATATTATACACAGATTTTAAGTGACATTTAAATTGCCTGTACAATCTATGGTAGGTACACGTTTTCCCGCCATTTTCCCAAACGTCGTGTCAAAAAGTTAACATCGCATGATCGCTAAATTAGATTTTTGCTCACGAAACTGTTTGAAAAGCAAAATGGCAACTAATTACTGATTTATCGAGCCTGATTGCGTGTTTTAATTATCAATACTACGATAGGACTTTGACTAAAAGGTTATTAATTTTGAATATTAGGTTTTTAAGGTTTAATTAGAGAATTACCATTAAGAAGCCATTAAGCCACTGAATTTTAAGCATGGAAGAGCCATGCTTCTGCATGAATGACCCGCTTTTTCGGAGTGATACCACGGTCTCACACAAAATCGGCGTGAAGCAACACTTACGTTGCATTTCGTCATGTGAGTGAGGTTACCAGAGGCCCAATCCTTCCCCCATCCTTAATACCCCAACTGCCTATCCTTACATCCCTAATAAACCACAAGAAGCCGACAACGCACTTGTAGTAACTCCTATGGTATTAGGAGTGTCCATGGTAACCCATAAGAAGCCGACAACGTATCTACGTGTACCTAGTGACTCCTTTGGTGCTACACTACGACTAGCCATGGGCAGCGCTGATTGCTTAGCCACCATCAGGTAATACGCGAGCTCCTTTGCCGACCTATACCTATGACATTAAAAGGACAATGTGATTTAGATACATAT